AGAAGAAGAAGAAGAAGAAGAAGAAGAAGAAGAAGAAGAAGAAGAAGGTTCAACCGTGTCGCAGGCTGCACCAACAACATCCACTACTCTGAGTTAAAGGATTCGGCTGAGCCCACCTTTTGACAGGTCTCTAAGAACTCTTCGATGGTGACCACGCCGTCCTGATTCTTGTCCATTTTCTGCAAGACAAAATGTGAAATATTTGCCCATCCGAGGATGCACTCCCTGGGTCTTAGTTCCAAGAAGAGCAGGCCCTCCCCACTGGACCCCCATTCAGATGTATCTCCCCTCACCCATGAGGCCTGGTTAGACTTCCTACAGCAGGGTTTCTCAACCGTGGCCACTTTAAGATACGTGGACTTCAAATCCCAGAATTCCCTAGCCAGCTATGAGGAATTCTGGGAGTTGAAGTCCACATTAAAGCGGCCTAGGTTGGCAAACACCATCAAATTGTTTTTGGCTGTTCCATTCCTGTACTTGAGGGACAGTTTTCCACCCACTAAGAAAACAGTGAAGAAACAGTGAGATGGGCGGTAAATAAATTTAAGAATAAAATCAATTAACTAGGCTATTTGTGTTGATTCCAGTTCCCACAATCCTCTGCGGGGGCTGGGGCTGGTAATTCTGGGAAATGGAAGGGTCGGGGTTGAGGAAAGCAACTCCACGGAGCCGCTCGTCACGACGTGGGGTCAGGCGGGAATGAGGTAGAGCTGGTTTTGCCCTGGTCAGTGCCAAAATGATGTACTCAACAAAGAGGCTGGAAGGCCTTGAGCACACTTGCTGTGGTTGGATCCATCAATCCGAATGCTGACAACTTGCTGACGAGGGGCGGAATCCTCCTTTTCTTTCATTTTACCTGGAAGAACTTTTCCACGTGCTCGAAGGGAGCGTCTTCCCGCACGATCGGGTAGGTGTAGCGGCCCATCATGTCATAGATGGACTTCATGATGGCCAGCATCTCCTGCCAAAGGAGAAGAAAGCTTTGACTGAGCAGCACATCAACGTAACAGAATAACAGAGTTGGGAAGGACTGTTGTGGTCCCCCAGCAGAGTCGGACAGTGGGAAGGAAGTCCGGGAGTCTGGGGCGGACTCGGACGAGGGTCCTGCATCTGATACAGAGATGGGGGGGGTCAGGGCCACCTGGGAGTTATGTGCTGATTCTGGAGCCTCCAGAATCTGACTGCAGTGAGGCAGAGGAACAGCGGGAGCCTGTTCCCCGTGCGCACATGCACAGAGCTGCCGGAAGGCAAGAATATAAAGACAAAAGGGGTGGCTCAGGAGTAAGGCTTGGAGGTGATTGCCGCTCTCATAAGATATAAAGGAAGTGCAAAGGGACAGGAACCTTTGCAGGAAGCAACGTTGCCATGCCCACCAAGCCAGGCCCACAGCACTGGTAGTAAAAAATTTTGAATCCCGCTACTGGATTTAGTGTCTACCTCCTTGGTGATGTAGCCATCCTTGTTGATGTCATAGAGGTTAAAAGCCCAGCTGAGTTTTTCATGCACTGTGCCCCGCAACAAAATGGAGAGGCCGATGACGAAGTCCTGTTCAAGACGAGAGAGAGAGAGAGAGAGAGAGATCAGTCACAGCTTGTGAGCCTGGCAAGAGGGGACACTTGGTGCCAGGCCTGCTGCCAATGCTTACACCTCAAAGTGGAAACGATTCTTGGCTCCGTTTGTTGAGAAAAGTACACTTATATTAGGAGCCAAGCGCATCGCAGTAATGCAGAGAGGGAGCTGAGAATCGCGGGGCAAATTTAACTCCCCACCCCTCACCTTCTAGCTGTCTCCCATCATTGTCACCCCCCAACACCCCCCCTGTCCAAACAGGTTCAAGCCAGGTGTTTTCAGAACGATCCCTTCAAACATAGGTTGGGATCCCAAAAGTGCTTCCCCACCCCCACCCCCCCCAAGAGGCAACTGGACTTTCTGGTTTTTCTTTGAAGACGTTTCACTTCTCCTCCAAAGAGCTTCCTCAGCTCTGACTGGGTGGTGGGGAACGGAAGGATTTATACCAGGGGTGGGATTCAAATAATTTAACAACCGGTTCTCTATCCTAATAATTTCTTCCGACAACCAGTTCACCAAAATGCCCAGGAACTTAACAACCGGTTCTCCCAAACTGGTGCGAACCGGCTGAATCCCACCACTGGTTTATACTCCCTGCAGACAGCTGGTCATTTGCATCCTTTTTTTGAGGGTCGTTGAGACCACCTGGGATTTATCTGTGTCTTCAGGGTCACCTGAGTGGTGCAAATGGGTGCAGAGCCTTCTTGAAACTGCTGAAAGGACTGTGTTGTAGACTGGAGATAGAGATGATGACAATTGCATCCCTCCCTCTCTGTGGAGCGAGAGCTGTTCAATTTGGACAAAGATGGGCTCTTGGACCCCTCTTTCAAATCAGCGGTCCTCTCTGTCCCAAATGTGGACTCTGCTATCTTCAGCCACTCCCTAGGATCTAATAATGGGCAATATTTGTAGCTCGGGGTTGAAACAAGAGGTCCTTGGTGCATTCTAATCTTGGCGGTCTACTTGCAGATGTTTGAGTGATCAGGGTAACATCCGGTCTAGCACTAATGATGTTACCTAGTTTGGGGAATGAAAAGCCTGCAAGAAAGCAAGGTCAGAGAACATCAAAGACCCCTCCCTAAAATCTCCCAAAGGTAGATTCGTTCAGGGTAGTTTAGTACAGCTGTAGTCTGGCAAGAGTCTGTCTATTTGCAAGTAAGCAAATGAAGAACTGGATTATTCTGTGTTGTTCTTGGGCTGGTCCTGACAGTCTTCTACAGGGAAAAAGAGATAATGATTCCCTAAATCACGCTCCACCCCTACTGAGGACATGGACATACCCCCATAATTTTATTGGAAGCAATACAGAAATGACCTGCCATACTTTTCTTTAAAAGAAGGCCCACTTTTTTGACTTTTCGGTGTGTTTACTTATTTTTATTAAACAGATTTATACGGCCGTCCAACTCACAGTAACTTTAGGCAGCCTCTAGCATTGAAAGTTTAGATAACAACCTTAAAGGTGTTCCTTGTGGCCTCCCTTCCATGGACTGGCCTTATTTAAAAATGCCCCATTCATCCCGGGAGTGCAATTTCTACTACTCCCCATCTGTTTTTCAAGGTACATATTTTAAACCCATGTTAACACGTGGACTTCAAATCCCAGAACTCCCCAGCCAGCAAACTGGGAAATTCTGGGAACTGAAGTCCACAGCCAACTTAAAGTTGTGGAGATTGAGAAACCGTTGAGATATTAAAAGGGCCCGCGATGCCTCACAGATCGCTTCCTTTCATATTAATGCGATTTCTTTGCTTCTAATTTTGGATTCAGAATTTTGTGTTCCTGTTTCTGGGGTCCAGATTTGGTTGGACGCGCCTCTGTCCCAAAGGCTGCAACGAACCAGTGCACAATTATTACCTGTTATTTTATTTTTTTTCCCAACTGACACAATTGCTTTATTTATCAAGTTACCTCACGGACAAGGTGAGGAGGATTTAAAAGGACGAATTTGTACATCTCTATCTCCATTTGAAATTGCTGCCTTTTGCATTTTTTCCACCAGGTTAAAAATGCCTTTACATTTTTCTTACATTTTTCATCAAATTAAAGCAATTTGCGTACACCGCAAAGACATTGCAATTAGAACCACTACATACGGAGGCTTTGGTGGAGAGGCGCATGTTGAAAAATAAAGATGGCTGGGGCCACCCTGTGACCCAAGTTTTGCCCTCAAGCAAATGAGGAGAGGAGCTCCGATCGTGTCCGCCATCTTAACTTTCTTCGTTCCCTCCAGCCCCATGGAAGAGCCTGACAATGTGCACCGCATCAGCGCATAGTTCTAAACACACTGGGCCACTTGCATCGTTTCCATGGGTGTAGTGGAATGTAACCTGGATTCCCCAGGAGGGAGGGGATGCATCCCAGAGGCACAAGAGACGGAGACGTTTAGACAGTTTAATTGGGAGGAAAAGGTTCCTCCGTAGAAATTCTCAGAGTATATCTTTAACGACGTAGGAGTGGTGCAGTGGCCTAGAGGAGCTCTCGCCTCACAGTCAGGAGGCTGTGAGTTCAATCCTAAGTAGCGGCGAATATTTCTCTCTCCGGGCACACTGAGAATTTATCTGCCGAACAAAACTCTGCATTGGTGACAGGAAAGGCATCCGGGCATTAAAACACTCTGCTAGCTCTGTTGCTCAGACTCCACCCCGCAAGGGATTATGGGAGGAGGAGGAGGAGGAGGAGGAGGAGGAGGAGGAGGAGGAGGAGGAGGAGGAGGAGGAGGAGGAGGAAGAAGAAGAAGAAGAAGAAGAAGAAGAAGAAGAAGAAGAAGAAGAAGAAGAAGAAGAAGAAGAAGAAGAAGAAGAAGATGATTATTATTAAGATTAAGATTAAGATTGTTATATCTTTAACAATGCTAGTAGGTTTGCTTTAGTTTGGCAAGATTTCTGCCTAACAATAAAAGAAACTGCTTTGCGGTACCTCAGGGACTTCACCCTTCTGAGTCTACATCTTTCCTCTGTAAATCAATTAAAACGGAAACCAACTTTGAAAAGCTGTTTGAAGAAAACCCAACTCAGATGCTCAACAGAAGCTGGAACAAAAATATTCTAAGCTGGGGGTAAAACTGTCCCGGGCAGTGCAGACACTAACCAGGCTCAACCCAAAGGAGGAGTCAAGCACGTTACCAGTCTTGCATCCTTCACATCCACCAGAGCTCTAAGCCCGGCCCACCTTCCTCTGACCGTTGGTAGTTCAGATTCTTGTAGGAAGTGTTGGCATGCAATAAACCGGCACTGATCTTGAACCGCGCAGATTTCTTACCCTTGACTGGCAGAAGGAATAACCTTGAGGGACAGGAGAGCCTCAGCCAAGACAACCATCAGATAAAGGAAATCTGAGCCGCGGACAGACGTGTAATTGGAGGAAGCAGCTCAGGCCTGAAGCTCTCTCTAGTTTCCACAAAGATCTCAGTAAAGGGAGGGAGGAAGAAACACTTTTGGGTTTTATTCCTATAATCTTACAACAGAGGTAGCGGTTTTAGTATTCATAACTTTGCTTTTGTTTTTAGTTCGGTCTCCTCTGAAGGTCTGAAGCTCCGGTGGCCTAGAGGTGGAGCTCTCGCCTCACAATCAGGAGGCTGCGAGTTCGATCCTAGGTAGAGACAGATATTTGGAATAGTCTCTCTCCTGCTCAAGCAGGGGGTTGGACTAGATGACCTCCCTTCCAACTCTGTTATTCTAAGGAGGACAACCCACGGGGCTGAGTGGAGAGGCAGCTCCAGGGATACTTTGCCCAAATCTGAAATGGAGGATAGGTTTGGGGAACGCTAATGTTTCCATTTAATGGCGTCACATCTCTTAGCCCATTTCCTTCAATCTCAGTTTAAATTCTTGTTCTATTCTATTTCTATTCTATTCTATTTCTATTTCTATTCTATTTCTATTCTATTTCTATTTCTATTCTATTTCTATTTCTATTCTGTTGTTCTGTTCTACTCTACTCTACTCTATTCTATTTCTATCCTTTTCTATTCTATTTCTATTCTATTTCTATTCTATTTCTATTCTATTCTATTCTATTCTATTCTATTCTATTCCTATTCTATTTCTATTCTGTTCTGTTCTGTTCTACTCTACTCTACTCTACTCTACTCTACTCTACTCTACTCTACTCTACTCCACTCCACTCCACTCCACTCCACTCCACTCCACTCCACTCTACTCTACATTCTATTCTATTCTATTCTATTCTATTCTATTCTATTCTATTCTATATCTATCTTCTATCTATATCTTTTTATTTATTTCTTTCTATTCTACCTCTCTTTATCTATCTATTCCAAGGGTCTTCAACTTCAACAGCTTTAAGGCTTGTGGACTTGAGCTCCCAGAATTCCTCTCCAGTCATGTCAGCTCGGGAATTCTGGGAGTTGAAGTCCACAAGCCTTAAACTTGCCCGGTGTGAAGACCCTTGCCGTAGAGATTCTGTTGCCTGCCCAGGTCTCAATCCAGACTGGCCCAGATCCCAACGACCCCTCTGCGAGTGCAGCCCCACCACATATCTCCTGCTCCGGTCAGCCGAGGGGACTGGCAGCTTCCGAACCTGAGACGGAGTCCTTGGTCACGAGAGCTGGGCCCAGCGGGCAAAAGGTGTCGAAGGTTTTCCCTAGCAGCCATTGCTTCCCATTCCTCTTCATCTGCCAGTCTCGGGCACTGACGTCATGCGCCACCATGAATCCAGCCACGTAGGCCATCGCCTCGGATTCCTAAAAGGGCAACAGAATAACCGAATTGGAAGGGGCCTAGGAGGTTTTCAGAGCCACGGTGGCGCGGTGGTCAGAGTGCGGTACTGCAGGCTGCTTCTGCTGACTGCCAGCAATTTGGCAGATCGAATCCCACCAGGCTCAAAGTTGACTCAGCCTTCCGTCCTTCTGAGGTGGGTCAAATGAGGAGCCAGATTGTTGGGGACTTTGGAAACCTGCTTAGAGAGGGCTGGAAAGCACTGTAAAGCGGTATATAAGTCTAAGTGCTATGGCTATTCCTTCTTTCCTTCCTTCTTTCTTTCTTTCTTTCCTTCTTTCTTTCCTTCTTTCCTTCCTTCTTTCCTTCCTTCCTGTTAAAATGTAGCATTGCAGGCTAACTGCCCACTGCCAGGAGTTCGATCCTGACCAGCTCAAGGTTGACTCAGCCTTCCATCCTTCTGAAGACAATAAAATGAGGACCCAGATCGTTGGGGGACAAGAGGCTGACTCTGTAAACCGCTTAGAGAGGGCTGGAAAGCACTGGGAAGCAGTGTTGAAGCCTAAGTGCTATGGCTATTCCTTCTTTCCTTCCTTCTTTCCTGTTAAAATCCAGTATGGCGGGCCAACTCCATCCACTGCCAGGAGTTCAATCCTGACTAGCTCAAGGTTGACTTCCTCCTCCCAAGGGTCTGGAGGCCTCCCCAGGGCCTCTGAGAGAGTGAAAGCAGCCTCCCCCGGGCTCTGGAGACCCACTGGAAGCTGGAAACAGGCCCGTTTCTAGACTTCTGGAAGGCCCATTTTTGTCCTTCCCAGACTCTGCACTTACCTGCATCGAAAACGGGCTGCATGGAGACTCCTGGGCGGGGCAGGAAGGGCGGGGCCAGCTGGTCAGTTAAAATACCAGTTCGGTGAGCCGGATGCAAATTTAATTTAACATCCGGTTCGCCCAAACTGATCCAAACCAGTAGAATCCCACCCCGATAGGTCACACCGCTGCTCTCTTTGACACCCAACTCACAAGTAGTTTAAACGAAACGGAGTCAAACATCATCCAGGCTGTTACCTAAAGCCGGGTGTCCGCCGGTCTCTGCCAACTTTTAGAAGACTTGCGGACTTCAACTTCACCAGCTATGCTGGCTGAGGAATTCTGGGAATTTGAAGTCCGCAAGTCTTCAAGTTGCCAAGTTTGGAGATTTCAGTTTTAGACTGAGAGAAGGCTAGGGATCTTTGGAGGTCTTCTAAACCAACCCCTGTCCAAGGCAGGAGTCCTTACCTGGATGCGTTTCCCCTTCTTCCCAATGACGAAGGCCAGCTCAACTTCCCAGTCAACTTCCTAGAAGAGGGGGGGAAAAATAACACAAGGACCAATCTCTAATTTGCCACCCCAAGAGTCAAGGGACACCAGCCTGGTCAGAGGGGGGCCATCAACGAGCATTTCGGTCCAACGCTTGAGGCAGAAAACTTGTGACCAGGGGAAACGGTTGTGCAAGGTGAGCTAAAAGTAGAAGCAGCCCATAATACACGGACGGGAGGGTGGAGGGAGGGAGGGGAGGGATAATTTGGTGTTGAGGAGGGGGAAAGGGCGTTGGAGGTCGAAGTTATGTGAACTGTAAAAGTTGGGGTGCTTTCCTGCTTTCTGTGCAACTTCAGTCACTTATTTTTTCTACGCCAAGGTCAACCGTCTTGGCACACCAGATATGTGAGACGCCACCTAAAGATGTAACCTCCACGGCATTATACACACCTCAGATTGGATAGCCAGTTTGAACTACTGGGGGAGGGGACTTGAGATAACTTTCTGTCAACTCAATAAAATATTTCTATGGCCTTTTTAGAGCTGCCAACAGAAAGGGAAGGGGGAGCAGTGCGGCAGCTTGCAAACTGAAAGTGCATTCCATAAATGTTTTCAAAGATTGTAACTAGGTGACTGAAGTTTCTGCCTTGCAAAATTCTAACTGGAGAGCCTGACTGAGGATTCTTGGCTATGGAGGTGTCCCATTGGAGAATATGGATTAGGATACACCCAGAGGGTGGGGGGTAAACCAGGGTCAAGGGTCACAATGAATGATGTGCCTCAGAGTCGGCTACACCCAGGCAGTGCCGGCATGTTAACTCCCAATAAATCCTTTGGCTTGAGACTCAGCATTTAATTGGGATAACTGCGGGAGCCCTGACACTTTCAATATGTAATTTCCACACCTATTTGCCTCACATCTTCCTTTCCTTTCCTTGCTATCACTTCAAATCCAGTAGAAGTGCTTTTCTCTCTCTTTATGGAGTCTAAGGTTTTCTTTCTTGGATTTCGAATGGAGCCACACCTGACAGGCCTGTTCAAATTTTTGATAAAAGGATGCAAAGGGCCAGCTGTCTGCAAGGCGTATCAATCCTTCCATTCCCCACCATCCAGTCAGAGCCGAAGAAGCTTCCTGGATGAGAAGCGAAACGTCTTCAAAGAAAAACCAGAAACTTCAGTTGTCTCCTGAAAAAAAAATCACTTTGGGGACAACCAGGACCTGGAGGACGGAGAACCTCCACGGACATGTATCGGGTAGCCCATTCTCCCCAGCCCACCTGCAAGTAGACTCACGTTGGTCTCCACCGGGTGGACAATGGCATCATAGGGTCCCACAATGGAACTGGAGAACTTGCTGAAGATAATGGGCTCCTTGGGGATCTTGACGTTCTGCTCCAGGCAGTGGTCCACATAATTCATGCCGACGCAGATGACCTTATCTGGGCCGGTGATGGGAGCCAAGAGGGACACTTCGGACCGGGCCAGAGAAGGGCAGCCAGATTGCTGTGCTCTGTGGAGGACGTTCAAAAGCATCAGGGCCTCCAAACTGGAACGGCTGGATAACCAACGGTTGTTACAAGACACTGTTCTTCTCAAAGTGGTAAAATGGGTTTAGAAGGTTGGTTCGTTGGCTGGTTGGTTTATCTATTTCAGGGGTCTCCAACCTTGGCCCCTTTAAGACTTGTGGACTTCAACTCCCAGAATTCCTCAGCCGCTCCAACCTTGGCCCCTTTAAGACTTGTGGACTTCAACTCCCAGAATTCTTCAGCCGCTCCAGCCTTGGCCCCTTTAAGACTTGTGGACTTCAACTCCCAGAATTCTGGGAGTTGAAGTCTACAAGGCTTAAAGTGGCCAAGTTTGGAGACCTATTTCTTTATTTAGAGAATGTATATGGCCGCCCATTCACTCTCAGTGACTCTGGGTGGCTTACAAAAATAAAAACCCAATGTGCAAACAATAGAAGCAATAATCCCACCCTGCCACCCCTGGTGACAGCTGTCAATCAAACCAGCCCACTTGATGTCACCATCCCACTCTGGGTTCCCAGGCAAAACCAGGCCTTTCAGGGACTTGTGGAAGAAGTGAGGACAGGTCAAATCTCTGTGGGGAGGAAATTCCCCAGGAAGAGAGTCACCATGGAGAAGGGCTTCTTCTAGGTCCCACCAGGTGCACTTTCTTAGGAGAGGAGACCCACACCTGCCTGTCCTCCCCCTGCTCTGGTGGGTTGGCCGGATGTAACCAGGAAAGGATGGTCCTTCAGACAACCTGGTCCTAAAGCCAGGTTCTTGGGTCTCGCCAAAGTGAAGGACCACCTGTATGGGCAAGACTCCTGAGGGTGTTGTAGCCTGTAGGCCACCAGCCCCTTCAGCAGCCGAATCAAGAGTAGGAGACGGTATGAGAGTCAGGGCCAACTTCAAGACAACCTGGGAGCTCCGAGCGGGGAGAGGGAATGGGAGTTGGCCAAGAGAGAGAGAGAGAGAGAGAAAGAGTCAGAAGCGGAGCCTGGGCTGTCCGTCAGCCCTCAGATGGAGCGTCGACAGCCCCAAGTTTGGAGGTGGCTGATGAGGAAGAGGAGGAACCGCTGGGTCCAGTGTTTGATGCACAGAAGGCAGAGGAGAGGAGAGCAGTGGAAATCTATAAGCCGGTCCTTGGGACAGAAGAGCCACCGCTGCTAGCGAAGCCCCACCCAAGCTCTGGGGATCAAAGGGAGGGGGCGGAGAGGAATAGATGTGGCAGACAATAGATGTGGGGCCTCCCCAGCCTCACCCTCCACCCCAGCCTCCTTAAAAGCCCCAGCAACCCAGACCTCCGGTTCTCCCGCTTCTCCCCTCTGGACCAGCCATTGGCTCCGCTCTCTTGCATACCTTCCGGCCACTGCAAGCGCTGCCTCTCCTGCCTCCAGGAAGGCTCGCATGGTCCTGGGCAAGGAGGGGTCGAAAGCGTTCAGGTCCACCACATCTCCGCCGTCTCGTTCCTCCAGCCCAATCCGGGGCTCAGGGCTTGACCCCTTGGCCTGGAACTGAACCAGCCTCATGGCTCCACGCAGCTGGGAAATTCCCCTGCGTTGCCCGGTGTTCTTCCAAGCCCAGCTCAGCCCGAAGCCCACCAGAAGAACCTTTGAGAGTGGACGCTGCATCCAAACCTAGGTTTGTATTTTTATTTGAAATAAATTTATTTTATATAAACAGTCCATCTTTCATTTAAAGCAGGGGTCCTCAAACTTGGCCACTCTAAGACTTGCGGACTTCAACTTCCATAATTCTGGAATTCTGGAAGTTGAAGTCCACCAGTCTTAAAGTTGGCAAGTTTGGAGACCTCTGATTTAAACGGTGTGTTGTCTGGCTACGAATATTTTGCGCCATAACCATTACAATTAGTACACATTCATTCCTATCATATCATTTACTCTATTCTTACTTCGTGCTACTACACAAGGTACATCGAATGATAATAACAATTCTTAGCATACTTGGAGACTTTTAGCTGTACAATTTGGGATGAACCCCCTGGGAACGGTGTGGGAGTAGGAATGGATTTCCAGAGGGAAAAATTGCGGACTACAGGAATCATTTGCGCCACTCAGGGGACCCTGAGGACACAGAGAAACCTTCAAGTGGCCTCAACGACCCTCCAAAAGGATGCAAATGACCAGCTGCAAAGAGGCAAAAACAAGTCCAGTTGCTTCCTTTGTGGGGGGGGGGGGGGGGAAGCACCTTTGGAAGTAAGTAAGTGTGTGTGTGTGTTTGTGTTTGTATGTTTTTTTCCTGTTAAATCCCCAGTTTCCCGAATAGAGCCCCAGTCTGGCTCCGTTGCAGCAGCCCCGGGTCTGCCCCCTTTTCTGCAGCTGCAAGCTTCGGTTACAATTTGGGGGAGACGCTGCATGAACCCCAGCAAGGGAGGAGACCGGGACCCGTGCACCGTCGCTTCCCACGTACCTGCGGGGCGTCGGGCAGGTGGAGGAAGAGGCGGCCGCCAGCAACGCCGCATCAGCCTTAAAGAGCCAGGCGGACTACACTTCCCAAGCATCCCCGCGGCGCGTCCGGAGGAGAGAGCGTTCCCCATTGGAGACGTTCCAAGCGAGTGGGGTTCAGGAGATAGGAAAGTGTAGAGGGGGACCTGCCTGGTTTTGTGGGGTGTTTTTTGGGGGGGGGAGTTCCCGGGAACCGCTTGCAATTAATCCAACATGGCAACCCCAAATCTGAGAGGGTGTAGAAAAGGGTTACACCCCACCCCTCCAAAAAAAAAAAGGTCCTTCTAGATCAGGAGTGCCCAAGTTGTGGACTTTCAACTCTCCAAGAATTCTGGGAATTGAAGTCCGCAGGTTTTAAAGTTTGCCCTGTACTTGCAATGCTGGGAGCCTCGAGACTCTTTGGCGCCCTCTGGTGACAGAGCTTAGTAAACACCTGACCCTCAGGATGCCCACCTACAATTGTCAGCAAATAAAGCAGGCGGGAAAAGATGCTCTGCCTCCTGTCCTTTCTCTCTCTCTATGCGGCTTATTATGTATCTCGTAGCGTTACTGCAGCTTCAAAGCTCTGTAACTGTGACTCAGGGACAACTCTACTATTTCTATCTCTACGGTCACGTGAGGGGCGCGCCGCCATCAGAACGACGCATGCGTAATGCTTTCTGTAGCCCCCAGCAAGATTTTTTTTTTAAAAAAAAAAAACTCCAATTCCCGGCATCCTCCTCTCTTTCTTCAACCACCCAGCGCCCAGCTGGGCTGTTATAACAGATGGAGTTGGAAGGGACCTTGTAGGTCATCTAGCCCAACCCCATACACACACCCAAGCAGGAGACTCCTACCCACACCATTTCTCACAGTATAAAATGAGATTAAATATAAAAGGAGATCAAAAGAAGCGGAAATTCCGTGACAAATTCCTTGTGTGTCCAATCACACTTGGCCAATAAAAGAATTCTATTCTCTTTCCGTTTCCCCCATCGCCTCCACGAGTGCTTCTAGCTGCCCCTGAAAGAACGTCTGAATGCAGTTTGTGGCAACTGATGGCAAAGGAACACCCGTGTTTGTGCAAAACGTCGCCTAGCTCGCTTGGGCTGTCTTTCTGCAATCACAGACTCTGTTTTGACCTCACACGGTGGCCTGCTTAGATGAACAAGCTATGTGGACTGTGTTCTTTGTGCCATATCATACTTGTGGGTATATACATAATTTTGTATTTATTTATTTATCTTGTCATGTTTCTGTAGTGTAAAATTGGAGATCACCACCTCCAGTTTTACACTACATAAGCATGACAAGATAAATAAATAAATACAAAATTAAGGGCTGTATGCAAACAGAATTTCATTTTTAACATATGCCAATTAATGTACATCCAAAGTGACAATAAAGTTTATTCTATCCTATCCTATATTCTATGTTCCATATTCTTATATTTTATTCTATTCTATGTTTCACACAACGGGCTGAGCCACAAGCAACCCATGGTAGCCCATGCTCACATGTGAACCTAGCCTTCACGTCTGAAATTCCTTCTCCTGCCCTGCTGAACTAATTACCTCATTTTTGCCTTGATTGGACTTGAAGTTACAGTTTGTGTTGACCATGTTTTGGCCTTGATTCTCTGCAGCCAAAGGCTGTTCCTGGGAGAGTTTTTCTCCAGCCAGAAGGTAACCAGGAGAACATTGGGGGCAAAGTTGGAGCTAAGAAAGGGACTCCTACGGATTGTCTGACGGTGTGGCCTTTGTGCCACGCCCCTTTGGGTCATCCCACCTAGGCTGAGCTTGCCCAGGGCACCTGGGTTTAAACGCAATTGGCTAGGACTCAGGACCCAGCCACTAGGGAGAACCAGCTGGTCCTCTGGGAACTGTCCAGCCTCCTTCTGCGGCCTGGAGGGTCAGGTTATGACCAGAAGTTCTCCCCCGATGGGCCTTGCAAGAGAGCCTCCCTACTTCCCAGATTCTGGAGAGATCCGCCGAAGAAGAAACAGAAGGTTCCCCAAAACCAAACCTTGTAGAGGAAAACTTTATTTTCTTCAAGTCGTGAAAGGGTTTGGATGTTTGAGGATTACAGTTCGATAAATGAGGAGCAGGACAATCTTTCACTCTGTGGGTTTTTCTTTGTTTAAAAAAATATCCCCTGCCTCGCCGCTGGAAATCTCTCTCCCTGAGCCAAGAAGACATGCCAAGACACGTCCCGGGTTTCTAGGTTTTTTGTGTGTGTGTGTTTGTTTTCCCCTCCAGCCCTTTCCCTCCGTCCTCCCTCCTCTTCCTCGATGCTTCCGTCCTGAGAATCCAAGGAGTTTCGCAAGCAAGCCGCATGCCTTGCCCTCCCTTAGCGCCTTCACCCCGATTTTCCGCCGTTAAGGTATAAAAAGAGTGTGTGGTTTTTTTTTTTTGGTCGGTTGGTGTTTCTCCGAAAGACGTGTGCTTCTACAAGGAAGATGGGGAGCTCCGTCTGACGTAAGTGCAGGCCAAGGAGGCAGGTGGGTCAGGGGACGGAAACAGGCGCCCTAAATGACGTTTTCAAACAGCTGCATGGAATTCATGATGTTCTCGTCCTAAAGAAGCCAGAGGGGACAAAGAGAGAGAGAGAGAGAGAGAGAGAGAGAGAGAAAGAAACACGCGGTGTAAAACCCACCCCTCTCCTGGGAAAATGAAATATTTGGGGATATACTTAAAAAGGCAGAATATTTCCCCTAAAAAGAAAAGCAGAAACTCAGAGAGGCAGAAACTCAGCCCTCACTCCAACTTTGCTAATGGGCCATTAAGGCCTGGGCCAGAGTATTCTACATAACAAAGGCCTCT